CCCTGCATACCCTTAATCCATGGTATAACTAGCATAATGCTAGCGTAAATATTTGCGCGAAATTTTCATATTCGTAATCACACATTTTATTTCTTGTTTACGTCTAGGCTTATTGTGATTGGTCAAATCCTGGCTAAGTTCAAAATCATTGATGCATGACTGTCGTAACTCAGTGGCGTACGCTAATCTGGGTCTGTTGGTGGATTATGGTACACAGTGATTGCGCGTTAATACTGGCGTTTGATATGAGCGTACACGTTCACACCACTGAATTAACATTACTCGTTGCGACTGAACATAGCCTAATACAGAGCTTCATGCCACCAAGGCCTAAAGTACTTCACTTGTCATTGGATCAATAATACTTAAACATTTATTAATGAATAAATAATAATTACCATAGCTATAAAAAAGTTCTTCAAGCTCATACCCTATCTGTGAAAAGAATAACAAGTATTTAATTTAGGTGTTACTTCTATTTTAATTAAATAAAAAATAATCAAAAAATATACTACTGTATGTACAATTAACTGCACAGAAATAGTATGTAATGTTTTGAGCAAGGCTGGAGAGATTACATCAGCCAAAAGGATTGGCAAAAAATGGGAATTTGTCCAGACAATCAAATATCATTTGACGAAAACATGTGAGATGTCTAAATATGGTCATAATGACATCACATGACCATATATAGGCACATCATGACTATATATAAGCATACAACAGTTTTTGTCAAAGAAAAGATTAGAGAAGTTCTTTTTGAGAACAGCTGTTAAGGTTAATATGAGGCGTGTTGTGGCGATATGGTTTAAGTTGTCGCACAGTCCAGTATTTAGTAAATGAGCTATAAAATATGGGAGCTCAAAAAATTGCCTAAAAATCCAAATTTGTTTTCCACTATAGATTAACAGTTTAATGTCTTGTTAATCATGTCCCAAAGTATTAGTTCAGGAAGTGGTTAACAAATTGTTTATTTAATGTTATTTTTCATAGTTCAATCTATTAAACAATGTATGCACAAATAACTTTGAAAGGCAATTACTGTACTCAAAATCATGTTTATCTTGACTCTAAGAGTACCGTACTTTCACTTTCCAATAACTTAGACTTGAAATGTCCAATTTGAATGAATGACCCCTCATTTTAAAGATCACATACTCAGGTATCTGAAAATACCAATAACTTGAATTTCAATTTTTGCTACAACTTAGCCATTTTGCCACAACATGCCTCATATTTTAAAGATGTGTGGACATTTTTGTTTACCTTAGTAATTTAATAAATAATATTATTGCAGAACTTACTAAACTAAAACCACCGTTAGCCTTCGTGCAATCATCATCATCCGTATTTGAGCAGTACATAGGTCGATGACCCATTGTAATAATCCAAGGTCGCTCAGCTCGATTTTTGCTGGCTGCTTCCAGGTCCTGCTTGAGCCATTCAAGTTGGTGGTTGATGAGGAAAAGGCCGTAGTATACAAAGAAGTATACCTCAGTTGAGAAGGAAATAATGTGTGCTGGTCCTACATCCCAACTAAATTACAAATATATAACATAATGCATTTTAAAATGTTACTAATTAAATCTATCAAATATTGAGTTGATTGATTAATTGATTGATTGATGGACTGATTGAAGCAAAAATGAATTGATTAAATATTCAGATTCAATTAAAATTCATTCAGTACAATTCTAAATTTCCTGCACATGCTTACAGTATATGATTAATTAAGAATGCAAATTAAAAAAACATAACATGGACACATGCCAAATTAAAAAGTAGTTTAAGAACATATATAAAAAAAAAAAAAAAAACCAAACAACTGGCAATTGCAGCTAACATTATATGAAAAAACAAATTACAGGTACCAGCTAAATCTTATTATATTACAAAGTAAAATAAAGGGTAATAAATGATTTTTTAATACTCTGATTTTGTATTACGTAAAATTTACAAAACATTTTTAGGTAAAATCTTATTGTTTGCTATGCTACAAATACATTTTTTTTAACATAACAATTATCACTATTATATTTCTTTACCTACCTGTACCACAGATTAGCAGTCTCCTTAAAATTTGGCATAGTAAATCGATTCTTGTAATTTGAAAAGTTACTGAAAAAAAAAAAATTAAAAACCACTTTTACTTTTTTGTTATAAAGAAACATTGTCTTACAAATTATGATTAAGTTTTTTGGAAGCACACTGGAAACATCAAAGTTTGGGTGCAGCACTTTGACCAGTTTGTATGCCCACTCCTGTTTTAGGAAGATTTTTACTACGCCATGCAAACCTTCACAAAATATTCAATACTGTACAAGTATAGCAACATTATGGTTTAAAACATTTTTTAAATATAAATAAGATACTTACTAAGCATACTCGTGATTGCCAGTGGCGGTCATATATGGTAAGTAAGCTGCAATCGATTCTATTTGGCGCATAAACTTGTCACCAACACGTGCATTGTCATTTTCCATATCATATGCAAAATCACCTTTAAAAGAGAAATCAGTACCAAAATAGGTAGTTTTCGTCGCACGATGTTAACCTTAATGAAAACTACCTAATAATATTGTCACTAAAAGATGTTGAGTTTAGGATCTTTTACCAATGTACTCATGGATCTCAGAGCCTTAACTTCAAAGCATTTGGTAGTAAGCAAATTATATTCATCTATAAAATTGCCGTTTTTTTAAATTCATGACATTGTCAGTGGTGTAATGAAGAGGCTTATTGTCTAAAAGCAACTAACTGAAGATTTCACCCCATTGTGCCTAGAAGGTTTGCCCCAATTTTAACCCATATTCTGTACCACATGAACCATATTTTGCAGAAGTTTTTTTTTTCTTTTTTTTTCATTTCTGGTTTTATTTAAATCAAAATCATTGCAAAATAAATTGAATTATGAGAAGATTGACAAAACAACATCAGAAATATTAAAATCGTAAAAAACCCATAATGATTCAGGAAACCAAAAAAATCATTCTAAATATATATTATAATTAAAAATAGATATATAAGAAAAGCATACACAAATTATAAATAAAAAAGACTTAACAAAATTCACACAACAAGAAAGCCAAAAACCTCAAGAGGAACATATCAACAAAGTTTACAAACCTCATACAAACTCCATAACAATAACACTTAAAATTACAATCACCAAGACAATAATTACAAAAATCGTTATAATTATTATTGACAGTAGGAAATGTGTAGGAAGGTGATGTAAGACCACCTACTACGTACCCCTCACCTAGCCATGTTCCTATCGTAATGCATTGGCAGAACTTCCTAAATATGACAGTGTACAGAAACTTCACCATGTAGTACATGGACCAACATTTTTTCAACAAAGTACTATAGCTGTAAATTACAAAAAACCTCATAAAGAGGTCTTTGGCATGCATCGCTATCTGAGGGCCTTCTGACAGAGCCGGTCTCTAATGAGATTTTCTTTTTAAATAGGAACCTCTGGATGGCGGGAAATTTCTCAATTTCTTTATTTTCAAAATCACACTGAAACAGTGAATTGCAGCAATTTTTACATAAGTTAAAAGGTTTAAAAACTAGTTATGAAATGGCACTCTCAGACTTGAAAAATAGTCTTAAATGTAGAGTTGATAAAATACGATGTTACTATACTTTCAAGCTCAACTCAATAAACACACATTTCATTTCATAGGCCTATTTTTTTTGGTCTGACTACCTGACGAGCTCTGGCCGGTGGCGGGGCTTGACCTATCTAATGGGGGCTTAAGCTCATGCTGTTCCCCGCTGGTGCCACCACAGAAGGCAAGGCCTGAAAAATCACTCTGACCTACAGGCTGCCATGTGTACACAGCCCTTTACTATCAAATAAGTAACACCGATGATCTACAGTCGAGTCCAGGAAATCACATGATTAGAACTGACCTGAAAAAATGTGCGCATTGCTGCTTATTTTGAAATCCTTTGTCAAAAAAAAAACTGTATGTATTGATAAAAAAAACAATTTTTCAAATAAGAATAATTATATTCACGCAGTTTATCAACAGCAAATGACTCACACCTGGTGTAAAAAAACAGCTAATTTGCATAAGGATAAATTTTTACGATCATTACGGTATCTCCTGCCGTGTACTTCTGTGTATTTTTCTTTTACAACTCACCAACGTGAAGAATGGAATGATACATTCCTTGTTGAACATCCTCCTGTAAACGACTAAGTGACTGTGCGTTCTCGTTTCCCATATCACCATACACAGCAAACCGAGGGCTCCACTCTGTACCACTTGGGAAGGTCTGGAAGATGAAAAGAGGACTCCAACCTTCTGCACTACCACAATGATAATCTAGATATTCAAAAAAATACATACACTATTTGTAAATACATTTTGTGGACATTTGAGGCATGTTGTGGCAAAATGGCTAAGTTGTAGCAAAAATTTAAATTCAAGTTATTGGTATTTTCAGATACCTGAGTATGTGATCTTTAAAATGAAGGGTCATTCATTCAAATTGGACATTTCAAGACTAAGTTATTGGAAAGTGAAAGTACAGTACTCTTAGAGTCAAGATAAACATGATTTTGAGTAATTGCCTTTCAAAGTTATTTGTGCATACATTGTTTAATAGATTGAACTATGAAAAATAACGTTAAATAAACAATTTGTTAACCACTTCCTGAACTAATACTGTGGGACATGATTAACAAGACATTAACTGTTGATCTATAGTGGAAAAAAAATTTGGATTTTTAGGCAATTTTTTGTGCTCCCATATTTTATAGCTCATCTACTCAATACTGGACTGTGTGACAACTTAACCATTTCGCCACAACATACCTCATTTTGAGTGATTTTGGGTAACAGAATGTAAAATTATTTAGTCACATAACAACTGACATAGGATATAATGATTTATTTAAAATACTAGATACTTATTATGAAAAATCTATCAGTACCAAGAAAAAAAATAATGTATTTTTACAAAAATGCGAATAAAAGCCTGGTCTCATAGAGTAAGCCTTTGGTAGAGCAGCTAAAAATATAAAAACTAAAAAATGTACAGATACTAGATTGCTTCTATCATGGACCTATTAATAGGTCCATAAATGAACCCATAAATAGGTGAATTGCTAATCAATTAAATAAGTGAAATCATCAATACTGTACTACAAATTACAATTTTAATTTTAAACAATATGCAATATTTCAGAAAACAATAAAAAAAAACCTACAGTACTCCAAATAAGGACAGTCAAGCCATCATGATCCAATTATTTTTATCTTTATAAATATGATTATCATGATGTTCTGAAACCTATCGGTGAACCCACTGGTTTTTTAAACAATAAAATGCTAGTACAAATCAAATTAAATTTACTTAATAAATTTATTTAACAAAAAAAAACTGTTTAAATATTATGTTCACTCATGCCAGTACTCACAGTATATTTCAGCTGGCTTCAATCCTGACAACTTGACCCGATGGATAAACTGAGCCCTCTTCTCACTCCCACCATCAATGAACTTTGTACTTGTTCCCTTGGCAACCATGCTAAGGGTCAAATTGTTGCCAAACTTGACCAGTGATTCTTCGGTGTCATTGAATGTGCTCCATGTTACCATCATCTCATCAATTCGTTCTGAAAAATGTTTTTATTTCGGAAAATGTTTATATGAATGCTAATTATTAAAATAGTTTAATATTAAAATATAAGCTTGCTCATTTATCAACATGACAAAACGTATCTTTAATAATTTAATTACATGGTAGATAGGGTGGGAGAAGAAAAAAAAAACATTCCTATGTAAGAAATCAAGCAAGAAATCTTTGAGTGTTTTATATATATATATATATATATATATATAT